TTCTCTGTGTTCGCCCTGGGGGATGGGTTGGGGGGAGAAATTTTGGGTTTTGAATCCCACCCAATTTAAAGTTGGCCGAAGTTGAAAAACACTGGTTTAGGCTTACCAGCTGGTAATTTTTACAATATGTATTTACGAATCAAACTCAGTGGGTTGGCTGTTGATGTTGGCTTCTGGTCTTGACCAGGAGGTGACTCTGAAGGACGCCGGCTGGAGAATTCTGGCCGATGAAGTCCACCCATCTTACAGTGGCCGAAGTTGAGAAACACTGGTTTAGGCTTACCAGCTGGTAATTTTTACAATATGTATTTACGAATCAAACTCAGTGGGTTGGCTGTTGATGTTGGCTTCTGGTCTAGACCAGAAGTTGACTCTGAAGAACGCTGGCTGGAGAATTCTGGCCGATGAAGTCCACCCATCTTATAGTTGCCAAGGTTGAAAAAAGACTGCTTTGGACCTTGCAGTTGGATACCAGGTGAGCCTGGTCCACAGGAAAGGGGGGGGGACATAAACGGGAGAGGTATGACACCATCACAGATGGGACAGCAGGAACCCGGTGGGGTGAAGCGCTCGGCGATGGGGCAGCTGAGCGGCGGGCATCCACGGTGCACACACACCCAGGTCAGATCCTAGATGGAAATAAGGCAATATCAGGACTGGCACGTACTGAAGGCAAGCTTGGGGGTCCACTGACCAACTGGAAGGCTTAGGGGGGCCACCAGTCTGGGGGCGAAGGAAGATTGTGATGGTCTGCGGTCAAGAAGAATGGAAAAGGAGCAAATCCGAGACACCGACTCCACCACTGCCATGCCACCAACAGTGTGGGTTAGCACCCTCTGCCCCCCCAGGCCCTTCCCTGGGCCCCTGTCTCTGTCCCCTGGTGCCTCGGGCTCCCTCGTTCAATTCACGTTCTAAATGTGAACTGAACTGGTCTGAGATCCTGGTTTCATTGTCTTCTCTTTATTCTTATGTTTTACCCTTAGCACTTTCACAGCTGTGGTGGCTGCCGTGCGGGTTGGGTGGAGGAAAAGCCAAGATAGAAATTAAATGCATAGATAGGTGAAGAGACGTGGGGCAGCTCTGATGCCCGGGGTGGTTTCGCAACCGGGGCAAATGCCCCCGTGCGGAGGCAGAGAGATGTCTTGGGGTGTCTGCAGAGGGCAGGGAGCCCGCCTTTGCACAGACCGAGGCTATGAAAACGGCAGGGCTTCTCTGCTCCTGGCATCCTTGGACGTGCCAACCTGGAGGGAGACCTCTGGGCAGGTCAACACGGGGGGCTGGTTGGATGGTGCCAAGGATGAGTGGTCCTGCTCCATCTCTCCCGATTTGGTAATGTGGAAGGAGCAGGTTGGAAAACGGCTTCTCCTCTCCTCCCTGGGGGACCGAGCCCTGCTCCTCCCTCCCCCTTTGCTCCGGCGTCAGTCAGCGCTGGAGCCTCACCTGGCACATACAGGTGTAACAGGGCGCCTTGGTGGCCTGGACCTCGTTGCCCACCAGGTCGGAGGTGCAGTTGCTGAGGGCTTCTTCAGAAGGAGAGGCAGCAGGAAGGGAAGACGGGAAGGGGA